TTCTGCTGTTAAAATGCATTATACTTGCCCAATCCTCTTAATCACAGTTTCCTTGAAGTCTTCGTCTGCTTTGCCATGGCACTTGACATTGTGCTCCTAGCTGTACCAATCATGTAAGGCCTTGTGGCAAGGAGTCGACGGGGCTAACAAGCAATGAGGCACGCATGTGGAAACAGTCTCTCCACCAGTTGGTGAGGCCTCAGTGAATGCTCGTGTGTGAAGCCACCGCAGTGCAGAAGGGGCAACAATTCACCAGGATTCAGATCTTAACGATCACAGCGGAACAGTCAAATAATAGAGCTCAGCGACTTCGTTCTATGTGCAAATCTGGCAATTTTGCATTTAACACATTTATGCTCACCATCTCACCTCCAACTGTGCTTTTCTCCCCCAATTCCTGTTGCCTTTACTCCAGCAGAAATATTGCAGTATCGTGCGAACATTTGGTAGTCCCTTCTATGTGCTAAAATTTTCTCCGTTAAAAAGGTATTAGAATTTGAATGCAATGACTGCCGACGCAAGGACTTTGAATGCTCAACTCCCATTAGCCAACTAACACGCGACTCGTTTGGTGCCCACTCACACCTTTCAACAGCACTTGGGTGGCTCCACCAGATTTGGATGTGATGGGGGAGCCTTGAAAATAAATGCACGACAATTTTTATGTGAGAATATGCACGATTTTGGCAATACTAAAAGTCACCCTTTTCTCAGTGCCTTCGTCTGCTTCATTTTGGATCTAAACCAAGTGAGGAATGAAGGAATGAATGAATGATCAAAGTGGTGTTTTGAGGTGGACGTGGAGGCATAAATGAGTAGTAAAGTGGGTGCATGAAGGTTTTAGTGATTGCTCGTTTGTGCACCCACCTAAGGGTGAAAAGGTTATCAATTCACCATGGGTCAGGTCTAGACAACCATACCAAAATTATCGGCTCTACGAGTTTAGTGACTCTGTGTTTTGTGCAAATCTGTCCATTTCACATTTCACATTTGTATGCCAATCATCCTAAGTCCACTTGCGGTCTTCCCTGCCCAATTTCTACTGCTTCTACTCTAAAATAAATGCTGCAATTTCACGTTTTGTGAATATTTGGTGGTGCTTCCTCTGCGATTGGGATCGCCTACTTAACCATACACATTGACATCTGAATGCGATGACTGCTGACGCGAGCACTTCAAATGCGTGGCTCTGTTCAGCCAATCAACAGGCGTCTCGTCTGGTATCCACACCTACCTTACATCTGCCCTTAGGTGGCTCCACTCCATTCGGGTGTGGTGGTGGTGCCTTCGAAAAAGCAGAGTACTTTTGGTGTGAGAATGCATTCTATCACCGCATGCCTCCAAGTCACATAATCCTCGCTGTCTCCGCCTGCGTGATTTCGGTGCCACTCGCATAGGCCATGATGGAGAGGGGTCAAATTACACTGCAAGGTGTTCCATTTATTCCAGCAGTGCTATCACCTAAAACCGACGTGGTATTCTGCATTGCCCAACAGCGATTGCGGCGGTGCTGTAAAATATACAACAAAACCTAGTACCTCATTTCCACTGCCCATGACAAGGGGGGAATCTCTGGATCACTTCTCAGTTGAGAGGCTAATTTTGTCATTGGAATTGATGCAGTTGGCCTCCATTTCTCTTACTTATGCCTTTACTGGCTAGCCCACACCATTCTCGCATCTTGTTTCATCCAAGTGGGTGGAAGCACACATTCTCGCATCCAGTGAATCACACCACATAGCTTCGCAGCCTCGGGTTTCGCGGGACCGAATGAGAAAGTGGAGTCTAATTTGCATTCCTCAACATGCAGATTGCTGGTTGCTACATCCGCGTTGGTAAGAAATTATTGAAAGCTAGCCTCATTTTGCAGCTTTGGGCATCTTGTACGATGAAGCACAGGTTGAAAAATGAACTGTGGCCTTGCGCTCTAGAGGGATTCATCTTAGCCTTCAATGCCAGTCTTGCATTTGTGCATCCCCAGTGAGAGGTTTGGCAGTCCTATCAGAGTAAAATTCATCCTATTGAAAAGTGCATTGCCTGAGGAGGCATTGTAGACGTCTACCCGATTATCTTAACCTCATGCAGTGATACTGCGTAAATTATGGTGGTCCTGAAGTCAGAAACCTCGTGCAGAGCATGTCGTGAATGCTTGAACTGCTGGTCACCACTTCATTCCTCTACGTCTTTGCGTGCGATGCTGAGTGCGAGATAATTTGCTTGGATGTGGGACTGGGAGTAGAATGGGGGAAAGCGATCAGACCTGATAACATGCACGTGTGTGTCCGACGAGCTGGAGAAGAAATACCCTGTCGATGCGAGTGCCAGACATGATACGACACTTCAGATGGAATGGTCTCGATAATTGGCTGTTTGAAGTGTGCATGGCGTTGCATGTGAGCTCGATCTCCTAACTGCATCACTGGCAATAATCCCAATTTATGCTGTTGACTACCACAGATTACAGAGGAACCAAGCACTCATTCCCTTGCCCATCAAGAGTCAGCACTGCAATCGTAGCATTAGTCACGAATCACACGGTTGCTTTTCCAACAGACCCAGATGTTTGCCTCGACTTTTGAGGTCCGTTTACAATTCCATGCCCTCATCTCTTGATCAATGCCTTTCACTGTATGCAGACCGTCTTTTCAGTTGAATGGTTTGCATCCTCCACGATGCTGTGCAGTTGGTGATTTGAATGATTGAGTAGTCGAGTGTAGGGCCGGCGTCTGTCTCAGTGCTCGTGTATGTCTAGTTGTGTTCTCCAAGTACCCTCAGGATGGAGAGAATTGAAAGACGAAGTTCTTTTCGACCTGCTCATAGAACGGCTAGTACACATTCAACTGCACATTGCTATGCAACATCTTACTGAATACAATTGTTTAAGTAAAATTTACAATTATCAAATAAGGCTGTCGATGCTGCGCAAACAAAAGACCGTTCACACATATGCATAAAAACATTTTGCAAGGAGAACCAACGCATGATGCTGCTATGCAAGTATAAAGGGTATAGGATAATAAAATTTGGCTATAGCTCGAGGTTCACAGGGGAAGGAGATAGTCCCTGTTCCCTGCAACTTGCTGTAACAGACGGGCGTGCTTCTACACTTATTTTAAACCCTTTCCATGCAACCCTTAAGACTCCGCCCATTTTCGAGATTTCGGCCTTGGTAACTAAATGCACAACATTTCAAAGAGCTAGGCAAACATTTCCCTACGAATCACTTCCGTCCACTACTTGTAGAATCGCTACACGTTGGCAGTACATCAAAAGGCAAATTTTCCCGCTTTTAAATGACATGCATCAACGGGAATACTGGAGGAAGAAATGTGTGCTATCTTTTGAATGTATGTGATCATTCTGCTGTCACATTGCGATGTCTTGTGAATTTTGGGTGGTGCCTCCTATGTGCTCCACTTTGATTTCGATGACTGCTGGCGTAAGGAATTCAGATGGGTGGATCTGTTCAGCCAATCAAGAAGCGAATCGTCTGGCACATACTCGCGCCTTTCATCTGCATTTGAGTGGCTCCAATCAATTCGGGTGTGACGGAGGCGCCCTCGAAAACAATGTGCGGCAATTGTGTTGTGCGAAGGCATTCCATCACCACAAGCCTCCAAGTCGAATTTTCGTCTTCGCTCGTATGATTACGGCGCTTGTTCCTGTGCTCTTTGCTCTGCCAATCAGATAAGGCGTGGTGGTAGGTAGTCGAAGGGGATGACAAGCAATGCAGCGCACACAAAAGCGATTTTATCACCAGTTTTTGAGGCCCTATTAAAATGGTGACACCTATCTTCTAATCAATAAATACACCCTAATAAAAGCGGCTTTCAAATGCAGTGAGTCCAGTCCTCT